GGAATTAGTGCTTTCGTAAAATATGTCGATTTAGAAAACTCGTTCGATAAAGCTCATATCGGAAAGATATTTAACTTGAAAACGTTTGTAAGAGTAGTAAGCTCGTAAATCAGTTTACGATATGAATGAAAAGCATAAAGTAAATGCAAATCCAGATTTATAGTGATTTGGTCATCCCGACCAAAGTCCACTCTCAATTCCTCTTCACTCGAGGTCACCGGCTTTCACTACTGATTTTATTTCAATGGGCGAAGATCAACTACTCTTTTACTACTCTTTCTCTTTTTCACAGGCTCAAGAAAAAATATTTACACCTCTCTCTTTTATACTTAAACCTCACTTCTCTCTTTAGAAGAACTTCTAAATACTAGAAGGAAGTGACTCTACACTTCAAGAGAAATTATAATTCTTTTTTCACAAAATTTTTTTCCCATTTCTACTCTATTTCTTAATTACTCATGTAGGAATTAGTACCTTTGATTAAGATCCATTTCGAAATTTTATGTAAGCTTATACTAATTATTGAGGCTTTAAGTTCATGAAATGAGGAGCTAATTGATAAAATAATCATGTTTAGCACAATTTCAATTTTTAGTACACTGAATCTAATGAAGAATACCATTTTAAAGTTCAAAATTTTCAAAACTATCAAATCTCATTCTACAACTAATATTCAACGAGAATTGAAGGCGAAATTACATATCTTTACCTTCAGAGTGAGATTACACTATTTTTAAACTATTTATTAAAATAATGTAATCTCATTAAAAAAATAATATGATTTAATCTCAAAATTTGTTAAACACTTTTGCTTCGTGAAACAGAATCATTTTTATTAATTCCATGTTAATAATTTTATTAATTTTGTTAACTAGGATATTTTTCAAATTAAACAAGATTAGCCATGTTGAACTTATAAATTTTAATATCTCGTCTGATAATAATTTTTTATTGTAACAGTTAGTCTAACTAGTATAAGTTATAGTTGTCAATATCAAGGATCAAATTTCTTGTTCATCTATTTTTTCTTTACTAATTTTCAAATAATTGACAGTGGCTCATACCTAAATCTAATTTTTTTTTTTTTTACTCTCGTGTAATTCTCAAATTCAATTCCCCCATGATAAAGGATAAGAAAATAAAATAAAAATTCACTAGGTCAAATTCAAAGCTATAAACCCGCTCAACCCCTTCTTGCTCTTCAATCACCTCTAACATCCTCCACATATAGCAAATGAACTCGCGCATCCCCTTCCCTCCCGTTCCTGTCTTACCTATTCTCCCGATTCCGCCGCCCGATGTCGGCCGACCCCGTCGCCCCGGCCGAATCCTCTGCCTTCTGGCAATCCGTCCAGCGAGCGCAGGCCGCCGTCCAATCCCTCTACCTCATCCTCGGCTCCCTCCCCGATGCAGTCGCCTCCTCCGAAAACCCCGCGGCCGCCCTCCTCAACGACGAGGCCGTCGCTCGCGAGGTCTCGATCCGTCTTCGCCGCCATGGCTCCGGCGCCGGCGATGACAACCTCTGCCGCTGGCTCTACGACACTTTCCAGTCCAACGATCCCGACCTCCAGCTCGTCGTCTTGACCTTCACCCCCACCATCGCCGGCGTCTACCTCTTGCGGGCCATCTCCCGCGAACCCCTCGCCGGCTTCGAGGCTGTGCTGCTGGCGCTGTACGCGTACGAGACCGTGATACGAGGCGGGGATCCGGAGACGGTCAACCTCCCCAATCTCGCCAACCCCAGCGTCTACCACGAGGCGAAGGCCCCGCCCAAGAAAGGCGCGGTGGAGCTCGACACAGCGGTTGTCTCCCCGGCTCTGGAGCCTTATGGCACCGTTCGGTCCACCAAGCGCGCAAGGATAGTGGGCGTGGCACTGGAGCTGTACTACAGCAAGATATCGTCCATGCCTCTCTCATCTAAGCTGGCCTTCTGCGAGTTCTGCATGGTCTGGGCAGGCCAAGATATTGGGACGAAAGCGGAAGGAGAGAGATCCGTGAGCGGGCCTGCTGGAATTGCTCCTGCTCCTGCTGCTGAGCATGTCGAAGAAGAAGCAGTAGAGGCGGCGGCGGCGGGAGAGAATGGTGGGAAAGAGGAGGATGAGGAGAAGGCGGCGTCGGCGGAGGCTGATGAGAATGGTGGGAAAGAGGAGGTTGGGGAGAAGGCGGCGGCGTCCGAGAATGGTGGGAAGGAGGAG